ATTTTTTTAAATTTAATTTCTTTTCTAAAGAAACCAATATGTTTTACTTGCGAACCTGAAATAGCTATTGCCATGAATATACACTCACTTCCAAAAGTTAAGCATGGAGAAGAAAATGCTGATTTCCGGAAACCAATCAGAATTGAAGAGGATGCAATTCGCTGCAGAGGTAGATGGAAGTATGCAAATATGTTAGGTAAAAGCCAGTCGCGCTTTTATGTCAAGAAATATGCAAAAAGGACAGTCTTATAAGAAATCAGCTTTATGAAGGGTTACAGAAGTTGATTGTAACTGCTGATAGAAGGTATTTAAAACTTTCGTACAATTTGTTTTCAAGACATACGTGTTTCTATGACTTTCAGAAAACGAATGGAAGATTCTGAGCGCTGGCGTGCTGTGGGGTGCATTGAAGCAGGACAGTCGATCACAGATGTTGCTCTTTTCTTCGGCGTTCATCATTCTGTAATTTCACGTTTATGGAAACAATTCCAAACCACACAATCAGTTGTCCGAAGGCGGTTGCCCAAGGGTTACAATCTCTGCGGAAGATCGATATATTGCTATTGTAGCCAAGTGGAATCGTAGAGCGACCTCCAAACGTGTGACATCTATGGTTGCAGCGTCCATTGGTAAGGCTATATCTGCAGCTACTGTACACCAAAAATTACATATGAATGGACTGTATGCTCGGGTACCTCGAATTTGTGTTCCTCTATCCGTCCAATTAAGAGGGGCACGATTAAAGTGGTGCCGGGAATATGGCAATCGGACTGTGTCTAACTGGGGCAATGTCATGTTTACTGATGAGTCAAGATTTGCTCTGGAGCCAGATAACTAGCGTATAAGGATATGGAGTGAACAAGGAACACGCAATCAGCGCCAAAACATCACCGAACATCAAGCATTCCAAGACGGAAGCATTATGTTGTGGGCAGAGATTTCATTAGGATACCGCACCGACCTTCACATCTTTAAACGGGGTTCTGTGACAGCTGTCTGGTATCGAGATGAAGTCCTAGAACCCATTGTAAGATTGCACGCTGCAGCAGTTGGCCGTACTTTTGTTTTAATGGATGTTAACGCACGTCCCCATAGAGCTGACATCGTTGATGACTACCTAGAGAGTAAAGGGATTGCGCGTATGGCGTGGCCAGCATATTCGCTCGACCTTAATCCCATTGAGATGCTCTCGGCCGTGCTGTATCTTCACGTTTCCCACCTCCAGCCACTGTTATTGAGCTGGAAACTGCCCTACAAGAAGAATGGCAATTGCTTAATTCTGCGGTGGTTGACCACCTAATTGAAATCATGGTCAGAAGGTGTAAACTTCACTTACAGATGAGGGAGGATCACATACCCTATGAATGTCCTTTTTTATCATTTTATGCTGTATATTTTCACTTTATATATAATTCTGTTTAAGTCTCCAGTATGACATTATCTGATAACTTCCAAAAATTTAATATTGTTTTCATTTCTGTATATAATTATTGATTTTGTTTTATGTATAAATATATATGCTACTTTACTGCCAAATTTTGTGTCAATCAAAGCAGTATTTGTTGATTTTTTTGCATTTTACATCTTCGTGCTACTTTTGGAAGTGAGTGTATATTATATATATATGCAATTTATTCTCGCTAATTCAAACCTTCGATAACACGAACCTCTCCCTAATTCGAAGTATATGCTCAGCCCCTTGAAAAACTCTTGATATTTCGAACTAAAAATTCATTTTGGTACACTCAATATTTCGAAATAAAATCTGTGGCTGTCCAGACACATGCAATAATTCGAAGTCATCTTATAAAACTCTCGACAATTCGAACACTCTCTATCATGTAGAGTCCTGTAACAAACAAATTGGAGTTTACATGTTTTCAACTGTATTGTCTCTGCGTGTTTCATCTATAATGTATCCCCTTTGATGTCCATCTGTTTTCCATCCTTTCCTTGTATTTCCTGGTTCCTCAAGCAAAGAGACATACAAAAATTTAATGCGTGGCCTTACTACAATTGTGTACAGAAAGGATGGTCAACTATTGGGAAGAAGAGACGTGTAGGATTGTGTATTTTGCATCAGAGTGACATGTCGATTTATGACTCATTTGTGTGAATTATGGCATGTGGCTTTAAATAGCAAATAGGGCACGGGTCGGACTGGACTCTGCCTTGAAGAACCAATGGTGTTGGGGATAGTGTCTGAGAGGACCGATAACAGATTAAACAGATTTTTGAAGATTACAGATTTTTTCCTCAAAAAAGATTAATTATGAACAGTATGTATTCTTTTAATATCTTTTTTTAATACAAAAATGTATTCTGTTAATATAGGACTTTTATTTTTTATATAATATTTGTACTGTATATAGTATATACGTTTTAAAAATACTTTAAAATAGTTTTATACAAAAGTACAATTGTTGTTTTATTACATAGTTTAAAATTTAAATGTTTCAGAAAAAAATTACTCTTCGTGTATTTTGGGAGTTTTTTCCTACCCTCTTGATAATTCAAACTCTTGATAATACGAAGCTTTTCATTGGTCCCTCCAACTTCAAATTTTTGAGAGTCGACTGTATATACATATATAAAGAGAGAGATCTCTCTCTTTTAGATCTGTCTCTTATTAAAAGTCAGTGACCTGTTGAACAACAAATTTGATAAGAAGGCAATTAAAAATAGTATGCTGTTGCATGTTTTCAAGCAGGCTGTATTGCGGCTTTCTAATTAGAACTTGTACTCCACAAAAAATTTGGCATACATGTAAATCGGTGTTGAGATTTCAAGTCCTTATTCTTGAATAATAGAGAGCTGTTAAGTTGTGATGTATCTGGATCTGCTGTGGGGAAATTTGAGGATTGATTTATCTCTGTGATGTTCCTAGATATGTAACCCCAGTTAAGGCATTAATAAAAATGTGCATAAAACTGAGTTTATTTTCCTTTAAATGACCCCCTTCCCCCTAGAAAAAAAACACACCATCCATATTTTTTATTTTATGTACCTGCACACATCTGACTATCATCTGTTCTGGTCGCTGCAAAACTTTCTTGATATAAATGATTATTTAAATTTTGAGGTGTCCAAGGGTGTGGAAGAATACTTTGTGTCCAAAATAGATGACTTCTTTTCTAGGGGGCTGGATAAGTTACCAGAATGCTGGCAGCCAACTGTAACTAACAAAAAACATTAAATTTACATGAATTTTTAAATAAAAAGCAAAAAAAAAAGTGTTTTATTTCTTTAGAAAAATTAAAATTAAAAATCCTGTTCTTAGAATGGATGCAACAATTGATTAAGGGGACACCATACAATTCAATTGACATAAATCGGTCAAAAGTTAAAAGAATTCTTTTAATTCTAAATTAATTTTTACGTAATTTTTAAAGGGAAATATCTCAGAATGGAAAAAAAAGTAACTCATTTAACTTCATTTAAAATGCTAAAGCTTATTTTTTCAATTGTGCTTTGAAATTTTTCTAACCTATTGTTAATAGTATATGTAACAAAAGTTGGTATGCATTTTTAAAATCAAAGGAATAGTTATTTTTTTTAAAAAAAATAGTTGAATTTAAGAATTTTTACATTTTTTTAAAGAAATTTCAATAAGCATTTCGAAAAAAAATATTTTACCGTACAACTTTTGTTACATACAATTTGACGCAGTGGTAAATCAAATTTCATGTGTGAACGTCAATTATTGTAGGAGGAATAGCATTTTCAAATCCCTTCATAATTTTTAAAACTTTTTCTTAAAAAAATTAAATATTTATTATTTTGTAGTATTTGAGATAAAATCTGTGTATGTGTTTTACGTTATCCATATATGTATTAACTACAAGCAAAAAATTGTAAAAACCATTAAATCAAAGATTTTTGTCTAAATCGTAACATGTCTTCTTAAAATAAATCGTTCTTAGAATAGGCATATAAGAGAACTAACGTAAAAATTTCTTATCATTGTATGGTGAGATCCATAAAACATGTTATACACAAAATAATCTTCATATTCAATAAGATTACAGAAGGCTTAACACGTTATGTTCTAAGCACTCAATGAATAATTAAAATGCTTAGAATTTATTTTAACTAATATTAAAAGACATTTAAACAAAAATTATCATTTCATTTTTTTAAAGAAAAGAAAATATGTAAAAGATAAAATATGATAAAACGAATTATAAGGTTTGTGGAATATAGAAATGGTAGAAATACATTCATAAATGACCTTAAACTGGATTACATATAGTCTTGGATACTTCGATATTTAATAAAATAATCGTATATGCAAAATTAGATCAGCTGCATGAACGTGCACAAATACACAGACAGCTACGACGAATTAAATGAATTTCTGCAAACTATTGTTCCATGTGACTTTTTTAAATGAAAAAGTTACCTCATGCATAACCTGTTTGCGCTCGAAATATTTAAACTTTTGAGACGTTAAAAGTGCATTTGAATAAAATATGCATTCGTTACGGCTGAAATATTAGTTTTGCGAATTGCATTATTTAAATTTAAACTAACTTTTCTATTCAATAACCATTTATGATTGCGGCATAGCGTTTTCAATTTCCTTTTTAGACAATTCTGGGTGTTTCTTGTTACTAAATTTTGTATTTATCAATTTCCATTACATACAAATAGTTAGGTCAGATTAATTTTTTAAAGATTTTTTGAATCTGTTTTTTTATTATAAATGACGATTAATCTTCTTAAATCTCTCACCTAAAATAATACAGTAAAAGACGTTTAACGCGAAAAGACTTAAGACGAAATATTGGTTAACAGAAATCGGTTGTTTTTGTCCTGGGATACATATGAAAGACGAGAGATGGAAGAACAGAAACATACAATACAAACAGAAGAATATAGCCATTTTATTACAAAAGATGATCCCAGAATATAACAGAAGGGATGCATTGCTTTCCATTCGAGACAGGGATCCATTTTAGGCGAAAGTTCGACTTCTTTTCCCGAAGAATATACAACCATGCCTTATTCGGGATTCGAACCCGAACCCACTCGGTTCCAAGCTGAGGATCATATCCACCATACTGACTGAGCGGCAACAGAAATAGGTTAAGATGAAATATATAAAAAACAACAACAAATTACTAAGTATTTTCATACCTTTTTTCTCTAACACGAAATGAAAATCGCTTAACACGAAACGATTTTTCCCCCCGAGAATGAATTAAATACGGATTTTATTGTCCTCCTGAATCATCGGAAGAATTCGTGTCAGTTGATGATGATAATGTGTGTACAGCCCCAATTTTATGGCAGACAAAGATATTTTGGAGTTTGTTCTAAGCTCAAAAATATCATTGATGCAGATTCCGATGACGAAAACGAAATGACTATAGCAGCTCCTGTTCCCACGTCATCCAAAAGGAGGAACATCATGATAGGTATGCACAGTTATTTATACGCATGTTCCAATGGTGAATATGGATGACATCGACCAATTTATTGACAAAGTGACGCTAAAAAAGATAATGGAAAAAAATATCAAATTATTTTCCAAAAACCCAATAAATCTTTTATTTGTCAAAAACTTGAAAATTTTGTATCAAATTTCTTTAAGTTGTTGTGAATGCTTTTGTTTCATTGATTTTTATTAAATACATGCATATGTACACAACTATGTAAATAAAATAAACTCTAATGAACTTAATTTTGTTGATATGTTTCTGTATTTCTGCAATATCCTTTAACACAAAATTCTTTTAACACAAACAAATATTTCAGTCCCTTCAGTTACGTATATTAAGCGGTTTTCACTATATATAAAATAATACAATTATGTCTGAACGTATGTGTGCCATATATTTACGCCTACGTATAAAAATAAATATGATTTAATAATTTTGTAGCATATCGGATCGTAAACCAGAAAACTCTTGTCATACAAAACATTTTTTCCATATTTACCTTTACTATAATTGTTCAAGAGGATGCCTTTTTAATATTTTTATGGTACGAATTAGCATTGGATGCTATGGATAAAGGAATTGTTTTATCTGTGATGTAATTAAAAGTGTGTCAAATTAGAATTAAGACATTAATAATTTCGAAGAATGTTTTCATGCTTTATATAGAAGGTTTAGTTATAATATGTATTTTGATATTTATCTTTATTGAATTGTGTAAATCAGTAACTTACAAGAAGAATGTTAATATTTTTGATGAAAATTTATCAAATATTTGACATAATGTTCTATTCTTAGCAAAAATAATTAAAAAAATTATGCTGAATATCATCTCGATTGATTCTTTGATTTGTTAATTAACGTTACATTTGGAAGCTACACCAGGGTTTTTGGAGACATACCTAACAATTTTGAGTTTCAATCAAATGGAAAGGATGCCACCTGAATTGACTAAGTTACCACACAACGCCAGCGTGAGGACTTTGAGGCCTTGATAGATCTAATGTGCACTGTGACGTTTAAAGAGTAGCGAGAGACTTCTGAAATTAAATAATTGATTTATTACTTCTATAGTTATTAGCTACACTAGTTATTAAATAATATAAATAGTTATTAATTACACACATTGTGAGCGCGACCTACTTGAAGTCGCTCCTTCACCGTCTTGCCTACTTAAAGGTGTAGGGGGAAACAAAGCATCACCAGTAACTTCTATAACAATTATTATTTTATTACTATTCAAACACACTAATCAAATACAGGTGAAACTACAAAAGGAGACCCTAGGAGTGCCATATAAAGGGAGCAATCTATTCTAAATAAACAACTCTAAGGGAACAACTCAAACTGAACAATCGCAAGTGATCTATTTAATTTAATCTAATTAAATCAACCTTAGATTCTAAAACCTTAATCCACCAATTTATTATAGTGATAAACTCCTTCCTAAACTCACGTTGTGATAAGGAATAAATCTCACTTACGAATCATCGCAACATATCTCCTGCTCCTTCTATCTTACATTTACAAAACCTTGACTTTATATAGTCAAACTAATTTAAATATTAAGGTTTCTTCTTAAGAGATAGATGGCTGTGAATTAACGCGAAAGCTAGCTCCAAAGTTTCCCCCAGAGGATTAGTGATAAGGTCGTGTATAGATCCGTCACAACATTTAGATGTAAAATATCCAACCTATTAAGTATTTCAACCCCACTGAATTGTTATTTGCGATAAAAAAGGCAAAATACTCCATTTCACACGGACTTTCTCTTCACACTCTTGGGATGGTGGCAGTCTCCTCTTATACCTCGAATTTCACTCGAGGTTCCGGCTCGCGGTTGGAGTCCTGCCGTTGGTTTTCTCACGGTCATCGGTTGTCGGCGTGATGTCAGACGAAAATATTCCACTACATTTTGAGGTCACGCGTGGATATGAACGGTGTAACGCTATCTACACAGGAAGGGCACTCTTGCAGCTGAGAAGCGGCTAAGCGTTACAGCACCAGCCTCTCTACTAGTAGGATCTTCAGAGGTGCCAGGATTTAAACCAACAATTGGGAAGAAACAGCTCCGGTTATATATATATCATGACTTGGAGTAATGAAAAATTCAGCCGTTTATTATATCATACTTTTTTCCAATTATTCAGTAAAACGTTCTGTACCCCAAGCCATGACTAGAGATGAGTCTTCTTTCAAGCGTCGTTCAGGAGCGAGTGTGTCGTTCGTGCACGTGTTTTAAGGAAGTCCGCTGAAGTTGTAGTCAAAATACCTATGCGGGAGGTGGGTTGAGTTGTCCTGGTAGGAAGTGTACCCCATCTGACATATAAAGGACTGGGGATTCATCATATATATATACACGAAATCGCGAGCTTGACCACTTGGCTACAACTTGGTGTGTGTATATCATTCTTGTCATTGAAAAAGGGTTTCAACTTGAGAATTTTTGTTTTCAATAATCTCAAACTGACTTTTGAAAATAAGAGTTCAAAGGAATGTACATAAACACCATTCAGGAAGTAAAAAAATATTTTTTTGAAAAGTGAATACATTTTTAGTTTTGAAAGAACTATAGATTGTATTATACCATTAGAGCATAATATTTTTTAATTTATTATTTTTTTAAAATAGAGATTATATAGATTTCAGAAATGTAGTACTCATTTAAATTACAAGATGAACTGATTTTGAATAATATTTCGGCGATGTAATTTCTATAACAATCAATATATTTAATGTTTCATACACTATCAGAACTTCTCAATAATAAAACCGAACACAAATGAACTTTTAAAGGTCTATCCAAGTAAAAAACACATTGATTTTATTTTTAAAGAAAATACATAATAATTGTAATTTAGTGATTAGTATTAAAAATACTTTTGCAATTTTTTTGATAGATTACGCTCTTCGGTATTTTTTTATACATTCAAACTTTATTCAAAAATATATAACTTATGTGTATGAGCGTCAGCACATAATGAAGGTATAAAACACAGTTTTTACATTTATAAACGATACTGAAACGCATTATTTATCGATACTCATCAATCACAAATACTTTTCGAAGCAAAACATAGACTACAAGGTGTAATGTATGGGAAATATTTATCAAAAAGTAAAAATGCCTAGACCCAATACTTCCCTTTCGAGTAGTTGGATCAATAATTTACAAAAGACTAAAATGGTGTAAACTGGCAACATGTGAAAAATTGTTTCCAAAAAACTAATACTTAAAATAGGGAGATAAATTATATATATATGCATTTTGCTATTCAGCTCTGTTTTCCTAATTTAGATGGTGTAAGTTTCAAAGTCGATTACTTAAAGCTGAGTGGTAATAAGGACCCTTACTCATTATGAACATTTAGTTGAAGGTGCATTTTTCACATTTTTGCAATGGAGGCTTTCGATAACTATGCTTTAAAGAACTTTAAAAGCCGATTCTTTCATAATCAATGGGCTGGAATATGCTTTCTACTCTCATCTGAGAAGCTACATTTTTCGGTAAGAGTTGTGAATTATTTGAGGTTAGTTATGGGATTCATATAAATTTTTTTTGATTTCTTACTGATTAGCATTGTTTCTATGATGTATTTATATGAATATTTATTTTTTTATAACTAACTAAAATCTAATTCGTATTGAAAAAATATTATAAATATATGATGCTGCGTTCCGAATGTCTTAAATCTTTCTATTACATTTTATGTTTCAAAAGAGTTAATTTAAGATTTACTTTACTCTTATGTAAAACCAAAATTAAGAAGCGTTTGTGAATAAAATTATAAAGTAACTGTAAGATGAAATAAAAACGGAATTAATTTAAATAACTCTAAAGTTTTACTAAAATAATTACACTTGGAAAGAGAGGTAATATGTAAACATATAATTTTCAATTAATTATACATGAGAGATTGAAAAACAAAATTGTGACTTGAATACTAGAAATAAGAATATCATTATGATTTTGGAAACTCGAAAGAATGAATGCTACAATATTATAAGCAATGTTGTTTGAAAATAGCGTTTAAAATCACACCCCCACACGCACGCACAGAGAGAGAGAGAGAGAGAGTACATGCTACTTTTTTACCATGATTAATATATTTCTTCTACTTTTTACTTACATTTCAGAAAAATTTCTTCAACAAAGAAAATTGCTTAAAAAACATGCGCGGATAAGAAAGCGAAATTAAAAAAAAAATAATATAGGTGAGTTAAATTTACTTTAGACATAGATTTAATTTCCTGATGATTTCGAATGCTTTGAATTTTTATCACTCAAATGAACTAGCTTATCAAAGGTTAAAATAGAAATTAAAAAAAAAAAAATTCTCCAAAAGGGTTCTGGTTTTCTGAAAGCACCTGATTTTACGGATAAAAAATGAAATAAAAAGGACAGTATATATATACAGAAGTAATATTCAAATATGTGTGTGTTAAAATAATATCACAAATAAAAATATTATTCTTTCAAATGATACATTCACCAATTACGCGAACCAGTGGCAACCAGTCTCTTTCCTAAAAAGTTCTGGCGTGCAACTGCACCTCTATTGTTTCAATAAATCACGCAGAAATTGAAGTGGTTATTTTCAAATAATATTATACTCGTAAATGCTGAAAAAT